TGGAAGGACAAACTTGAAAGCAGAATACAGGGCTAACGGAAAGATTCTTGGCAGTGTGGAGGAGCAGAGGGATCTTGAAGTTCATGTCCACAGTTCCCTGAAAGCTGCCGCCCAGGTGAATAGAGTTGTTAAGAAGGCGTATGGTGTGTTAGCTTTCATTAATAGAGGGATTGAGTTCAAGAGCCGTGAAGTTATGCTCCAGCTATACAAAACCCTGGTTCGGCCACATCTGGAGTATTGTGTCCAGTTCTGGTCGCCTCATTGGAATGAGATGTGGAAGCGTTGGAAAAGGTGCAGAGGAGATTTACCAGGATGTTGCCTGGAATGGAGGGGAGATCTTATGAGGATAGGTTGAGAGAGCTAGGGCTTTTCTCTTTAGAACGATGAAGGATGAGAGATGACTCGATAGAGGTATACAAAATGATCAGAGGTATAGATAGAGTAGACAGCCAGAGACTTTTTCCTAGGGTTGAGGTAGCTATTATGAGGGGGCATAGTTTTAAAGTGAAAGGAGGTAGATATAGGGGAGATGTCAGAGGTAGGTTCTTTACTCAGAGAGTGGTCGGGGCATGGAATGCATTGCCGGAGAGGGTAGTGGAGTCGGCCTCATTAGGGACATTTAAGCGGCTATTAGATAGGCATATGGATGATAGTATAAGGTAGAGGTGAAGGTTAGATGGACCTTAGGTTTAGCTTAAAAGTTTGGCACAACATTGTGGGCCGAAGGGCCTGTACTGTTCTATGTTCTACCCTATCCCTGCAATTGCCACAGCTAATCCACCCTAACCTGCACATCTTTGGACTATGGGAGGGAACCCACACAGACACAGGGAGAACATACAAACTGAACACACACAGTCACCCAAGGCTGGATTTGAACCCAGGTCCCTGGCGCTGAGGCAGTGGCGCTGTATCACTGCGCCACATTTCCATGTGATGAGTGTTTAAGATTTGGAATGCACAGCCTGATAGGGCAGTGAACACAGATTGAAACTGTAGCCTGTAAAAGGGAGTTGGATAAACACATGAAAAAAAGAAAGTCGGGAACATGGGGGGAAAGATACTAAATGGATTGCTCCTTGAATGAGGCAATGCAGACTTGATTTGTCAGGTAAACTCCTTCTCAGATCCAGGTGGGTTGCAGATGTTTTTACCTAACCTGTTCAGATGTGCTGTGACACACCTCTGGTCAGCAGCAAGTTGGACTTGAACCTGGGTCTTCCAGCTCAGAGGTAGGAATGCTACCCCACTGCAGGACCAGCACCCTTCAGCCAGAACATACAATAGCCCACAAACTGGTGATTTGGAAGCGTGAGAGGAACATGTTGCAATTTTCCAAGGTACTGCTGTTACTCGTGTGGCTTTGTGGCTTTTATAACCAAAGGCATAGAGTAGAAAAGTCACAGTAAAATTTATAAATCAGTGGGACTTTACCAACTAGAGGAAGAGATATAATGAAGGCAATTCTGGACTTTCGATTCTTGCCCAGTGACCTACAAGGAGTTGGGAAGTGAATGAAAGAAATTTTAAGAGGTTGAATAAAAAATAAGGCGATTCTATCTGATTAGGGATTCAACGGTAAAAGTGACAGGACTGAGTTTATGGCCAGATAAGGGAAGAGATGAAAGGCTGCACTGAATGTAGGTTAAGCACTCAACGTGAAATAACCGATGCCTATCTAGTTCATGGTGCCCATGAGCTGCAATGTTAATGCAGTCAGTGACTAGTCACAACAACCAATGAGTCTACAGCAGTCCCCAGATGTAACATCAGCAAACTTCCAGAGATGGAAAACTTTCCTGTCTCTTCTTTATTCATTAAGGAGAGAGGGATGTAATTTAAGCAGCGTTTATTGTCCTGGAGAAAGTGGCGATGAGCTGCCTTCTTCAACCCCTTGTAGCAAAGACAGACCCACGACGGTGTTGGGGAGGGAGTTCCATGACGCGACACTGAAGGAACGGCAATATATTTCCCAAGTCAGGATGGTGAGTGGCTCGGAGGAGTCCCCATGTATCTGCTGCCCTTGTCCTTCTAAATGGAAGTGCTCATGGATTTGGAAGGTACTGTTAGAGATGAGTTACTGCAGTGTGTCCTGTAGATGGTACACACTGCTGTGACTAAGTGTCAGTGGTGAAGGGGGTGAATATTGAAGGGGGTGAAGCAGATGAATATTGATTAAGCTGGATCTCATCGAGCTTTGTGAGCGTCGCTCAGGCTGCACTCAGTTCCCATGATACCCCTGATATGTCCATTATCTACAAGGCACAGGTTTTAAGGAGACATGAGGTGAATTTTCGCCACAGAATCTCTAACTTGCTCCGGCATCCACCACAACCCAGACTCAACATTATTTGTTCCCGTTAAGCTTGTCATACTTGCTGTGTGCTGTGGGTGCTCACCACAAACTCAACTTTGCTTACAACAGGAATCACAGCCTTCCCAAAAGAAGGGGAGCAAAGATACAGAAATTAAAGGCTAGTGCAATCCGAGAGGAGTTCACTTGTATAATTTTTCACAGTTCAAATTCTCTCTGCCCCGTGGCTGAGCCATCTATAGAAATTGACTAAGGATGAAGTCTCGGTGGAGATGTGGTTTTGGTACCCAGTGTGGTCCATATTGCAGGGAGAATACCATTCATAGAATCACAGATATGTCACAGTGCTGAAGGAGGCCATTGGGCTCTTTCTGTCTGACTAGCTCGTTAAGTCATCATCCTTTACCTAGTGCCAATCTCCTGTCTTTTCACCCCTTACATAGTATTTTCATGCAAATAATCATCCAGTGCCCTCTTGACTGTAAGACACTTCACTATCATCTTTATGGTTCTTGTGGTGTGGTGGTACTGTCCCTACCTTTGGACAAGGAGGCCTGGGTTCAAGTCCCAGCTGCCCCAGAGGTGTGTCATAGCATTGTGGATCAGGTTGATTAGAAAGAATCAAAATCTTCACGTTGACCTATGCCTCCCCGTTCGCTCTTCAGTCTAGCTGAGAGGCATGTCAAAGAGAGTTTTGAAATGCTTTAAATTTGTAAATAGCTCCATATGTAAACACCACGAAGCTTGTTTACTTAAGGCGAGCTGCAATGACACAGTGATTTATTTGAAAAACAAGTTATTCACAGATTGGCCATTTCATTGTGAAATTGGAGTTAATTCTGTGCCAAGCTATAGGCCAACAAGGGACCCAATTAGGAGATGGCTCTTAGGCCTCCCTCAAAAGCCAGGTACAAGCCCAGAAACATGCACTCCATCATTCAAATGCAATAAAGAAGGTGATGAGCCATGCAGCAGAGGGACTGAATCATTTGTCACTGTCACCTGAGGTCGATAATGCATCTCGCTGATGCACTTACTGCTTCTACATGAGCCGTCTGCAAAACTTTCATTGACTTCCCAGATAGAAATTCAAAGACTTCTGAAGGAGGCCATTCAAGCCATTGAGTCCTTCTGGCTCACTGAAGAGCAATTCAGTCAACCCTGCTTCCTTGCTCTATCCCCCTAATCCTACAAGCTTATTATTTTCTTAAATTATTAAACCTTTTTTTTTTCCCCTAATCAAAGATATTATTACACACCTCTGCAGCTGGTGGGCTTTGAACCCAGGCCTCCTAGTCCAGGGGTAGAGACACTACCACAAGAGGGCCCTGCAAGCTTATTCCCCTTAATTCATGCCATCTGCTTTCCTTACATCACTGAACGTGCCTGCTCCCAGCACCTTTCGAAGTGGTGGGCTCTAGGTCAGTATTACTTTCTTTAGTTCATTCATGGGATGTGAATGTCACTGGCTAGACCAGGGGTTTTATTGTCTCCCCCCACAATTGCCCCTTGAGAAGGTGGTGAGAAGATGCCTTCTTGAATTGCCCCAGTCCATAAGGTGTCAGTAAATCTGTAATGCTGTTAGGGAGGGAGTTCCAGGATTTTGACCCAGTAGCAGTGAAGAAACGGCGATATATTTCCAAGTCAGGGTGGTGAGTGACTTGGAGGGGAACTTGCAGGGGGCGGTGTTCCCATGTATCTGCTGCCCTTGTCCTTCTAGATGGAAGTGATCCTGGGTTTGGAAGGAGCTGTCTGAGGAGCCTTGGTGGATTTCTGCAGTGTAGCTTTTGGTAGTACACACTGCTGCTACTAAGCGTCGGTGGTGGAGGGAGTTGATGCTTGTGGATGTGATGCCAATCAAGCGGCTGCTTTGTCCTGGACGGTGTCAAGCTTCTTGAGTGTTGTTGGGGCTGCACTCATCCAGGCAAGTGGGGAGTATTCCATCACACTCCTGACTTGTGCCTTGTAGATGGTGAACAGGCTTTGGGTAGTCAGGAGGTGAATTGCTCATCGCAGTATTCCTAGCCTCTGACCTGCTGTTGTAGCCATTGTATTTATAGGATAAGTCTAGTTCGGTTTTTGATCAATGGTAATCCGCAGGAAGCTGTTAGTGGGGCATTCACTGATGATGATGCCATTGATTGTCAAGGGCCATTGGTTAGATTTCTTCTTGTTGAAAGTGCTTATTGTCTGGCGCTTGTGTGGTACAAATGCTGCTTGCCACTTATCAACCCAAACTTGGATATTGTCTAGATTTCACTCTATATGGACATGGACTGTTTCAATACCTAAACCTGGTGGAAACATCGTTGAGAAAACCCATCTGGTTCACTAATATCCTTTAGGGAAGGAAACTGCAATCCTTACCTGGTCGGGCCTACATGTGACTCCAGACCCACAGCAATATGGTTGACATTTAACTATCATCTGGGTACTTAGGGATGGGCAGTAAGTGCTGAGCCTAGCCAGCTGCATCCGTATCCCATGAATAAATGAAAAAAACATTTACGGAGTAATGGAAAAGGTCACCATGCTGGGAATTGACAAGGTCTTGGGCCCAGGATCCAGCTCAGCTTGTGTTCCTTCCACAACTGGGTTGGCTCACCAGCCAGGATCATCAGTCCCGGCCTTTTGAGCTGAAGTTTGTAAAGCAGCCAATATCCATGCAGGCCTGCCTCACGGAGGGTTAAAAACAAAAAAGACACAAGGGAAAAGGGGAATGCTCAGATAACAGTACTCCTGAAGCTCTTACCTCGTCTCTGTACTTGTTGATGTAGGTGTAGATCTCATGCAGTGCACTATTGCTGTTGAACTGGCTCAAGTGTAGTCGTGACTGCTCGGCCAGGTAAGCGCTCATATCCTGGTCACTGATCACGGGCATCTTGGAGATATCTGCGTAGTACCTGTGCCGAAACACGGCGAGAAAGTGAGCAGACTTCACAACATTGGATGGCCAAATGACAGATGTAACCACGGCATCTCGCAACATCAGTTTCAACGCAGATTCGGAGACCAGATAAGAACACTGCAACAGGAATAGGTCATTCAACCCATCAAGCTTGGATCTTCAGTACAAACATGGCTTCAGCTCTACTTTCCATCTCACTCCCCAAGGTACACTGTGGGGTGTTCCCCCAAGTGGGGGGGTCAGGAGCTGATGTGTTTGGGTGCGAGGGTCAGGCGCTGTTAGACAATAATAGTCATCATGCAGCTCTATTTGAAATTTTATTGTCTGTGCTCCCTCTCCAGCAGCAGCCCCCCCTGCCTGCTCTTGCAGGGACGTAACAATTCTCACGCCCCAGTTTGGAGCTTCGGCAGGGATAAAAGATTTTGGGAAGCACAGAGTTACCACCCTTAGGCTTCTCAGACAGAAATCAGAGGTGGCCCCAAGCTAGGGGCATGGGGGGTGCATGGGGGTTAACGGGTTAGCAGTTTATCAACAGAGTAACTATCATTCAAATAGATCCTTAATCCTCAAACTATTGGGATCAACAGGGTCCTTTGAGATGATTGGAAAGCCTGCATTGCCCATTATGTAATGCCTATAAAACACAGAGATTAACTCAAAGTGAGTGTACTTTTATGGTTGTTAGAGGTGCGGATGGGGGGGCGTGGCACTGGGGGAGCGAGAGGAGAGGGATATGGTCGCAACTGTTCCTCAATAAATCATTCTCAAAATCCAAGCAAGTGTGGTCATGAGAAGTTGCTGTGAAACTTGAAAGCGTTCAGAAAGGCTTTACAAGGATGTTGCCAGGGTTGGAGGGTTTAAGCTATAGGGAGAGGCTGAATTGGCTGGGGCTATTTTCCCTGGAGCGTTGGAGGCTGAAGGGTTTATAAACCTCATACAGGTTTATAAAATCATGAGGAGCATAGACAGGGTGAATAGTTAAGGTCTTTTTCCCTGCAGGGGAGAATCCAAAACTAGTGGGCACAGGTTTCAGTGAGAAGGGAAAGATTTAAATGGACCTGAGGGGCAACAGTTTCACACAGAGGGTGGTGTGTGTATGGAATGAGCTGCCAGAGGAAATGGTGGAGGCTGGTACAATTACAACATTTAAAAGGCACCTGGATGGGTGTATGAAAAAGAAGAGTTTAGAGGGGTATGAGCCAAATGCTGGCAAATGGAACTGGATTAATTTAGGATATCTGGTGGGCTAGGATCGAAAGGTCTGTTTATGTGCTGTGTGATTCCATGACTCTAAGTTATGCATTGACTTTTACCTCTTTATTTTGTTTTTACTTTTGAATCGAGGGTTTATGGGAATTTTCGTAAAATTAGGAGATACAACGGGATAGGAACTCATCTGGAGTGGCCTTCCACTCCAAGGGAACACACTGACCTTGAACTGATGTGTGGTGTTTGGTTCTGAGGAATGCACTCGCACCTTCTGGGCAGGTGCTCATGGGCCCTAATGAGGTGAATGAGCAAACTGGAGGGCACACTCCCCTTCAGGTGACGCAGTTTTTTTAATTCATTCACAGGATGAGGCCATCGCTGGCCAGCATTTATTGCCCATCCCTAATTGCCCAGAGAGCAGTTAAGAGTCAACCACATTGCTGAGGGTCTGGAGTCACATGTAGGACAGACCAGGTAAGGATGGCAGTTTCCTTCCCTAAAGGACTTCAGTGAACTCAATGGGTTTTTCCCAACAGTCAACAATGGATTCATGGTCTTCACAAGACTCAATTCCAGATTATTTTTTATTGAATTCAAGTTCCATGATTCGAACCCAGGTTGCCAGAACATTACCTGGGCCTCTGGATTAACAATCCAGCAATAATACCACTTGGAAATCAAATCCCCTAAATATGACCACTTCTCTGGATATCAGAAAGATCCCACAGGACTATTCAAAGACAAACAAGGAATTCTCCTCATGTCCGTGTCACCCATTTCTCTTGGTGTTTGTGGGACGCGATGACCAGTGCTCGATGACAGCCAATACTTAACAACTTAACAAAGGTCAAAAGATGTCAAAACATCTGCACTTGAACAAAACAACAAGAGATGAGGAGAAAAATTTCTTGCAGAGGGTCATACGTCCTTGCAACTCTTCTTCAAAATCTGGTGGAAGCCAAGTCTTTGAATATTTTCAAGGCTGGAGGTGGCTGGATTCTTGATAAGCAAGGCAGAGGTGAAAGGTTATCGGGGGATAGGCCACTGGAATAAACATATCAGGCACCATCTTACTGAATGGTGGAGCTAACTCAAAGGGCTGAAAGTCTGCTGCGGCTCTAATTGGCAGGTCCGTGATTAATAGTTCCACGAAGCATTAAGATAAGGCTACATTGTATATAAAAGGCAGCATTATACATTAAGATGCAGTCCAATTATAATCACTTCAATCTGGGTTAACAACTTTGAAGGAAACTGGAGAGGTTTAGGATTAGAGTTAGGGTCAGGGTCAGGGTCAGGGTCAGGGTTAAGGTTAGAGTTAAGGTTAGGTTCAGGATTAGGGTTAGAGTCAATGTTAGGGTCAAGGTTAGGGCCAGGGTCGGGTTAGGGTCAGGGTGAGTGTTAAAATCAGGGTCAGGGTTAGTGTTAGGGTCAGTGTTATGGCACGGGTTAGTGTTAGAATCAGGGTCAGGGTTAGGGTCAGGGTCAGGGTTAGGGTTAGGGTCAGGGTTAGGGCCAGAATCAGGGTTAGTGTTAGAATCAGGATCAGGGTTAGGGCCAGGATCAGGGTTAGGGCCAGGGTCAGGGTTAGGGCCAGGGTCAGGGTTAGTGTTAGAATCAGGGTCAGGGTTAGGGCCAGGGTCAGGGTTAGTGTTAGAATCAGGGCCAGGGTTAGGGTCAGGGTCAGGGTTAGTGTTAGGGTCAGTGTTTGGGTCAGGGTTATGGCGAGGGTTATTGTTCGAATCAGGGTCAGGGATAGGGTTAGGGTCAGGGTGAGGGTTAGGGTTTGCTGCATAACTTTACAATTTTTTAACATCTCTGATTGGGAGACAGTGGAAGTAAAAGGGTCCCTTTCAGAGGCAGAACAGGCTAGGCTTCGATCCCCTTAGGCATGGAAGATTTAGAGGTAATCCAACTGAAGAGTTGTTAATGACTGAAGAATTTGATAGGGCCAAGAGAGAGAGAAAGAGAGATAGAGAGAGAGAGAGAACCATTTCCCCTGGTGTGGGAGTCCAGATCAAGGGCATTCCACTGAAAATCTGAGCCAGTCTGCCCAAGGCTGCAGTCAGGAAGCATTTTCTCCAACTCACAGGGAGTGAAAACGTGGAACACTGAGTACCCCTCCCACTGCTTCACAAAATCCCATCCCCTTCCCCAACAAAAACAAGGCTGTTGCAGTTAGAGAGGAACCAGTGGCTGAGATCAACAAGATTCCAGTCAATAAAACAAAGGACTGCGGACGCTGGAGATCTGAAACGACCACAGAAATTGTTGGAGAAACTCAGCAGGCCCGGCAGCATCTATGGAGAGAGAAACAGAGCCCACGTTTCGAGTACAGTGACCCTTCTTCAGAACCTGATTTTTCAAGATTTTTGTCGAGCAAGGGATATGGCACTAAGGCAGGGAGATGGGAATTGAGGTAGAGATCAGCCGAGACAGAACAGGCTTGAGGGGGCCAAATGGCCTCTTTTTGTTCCAGTGCTTCCATTTCAGATGAAATCACGAGGTGAGTTTCGATTTTAACAGTGCTGTTAGTGGGATAGGTGTGGACCCAATTCTTCCTACCGGTCGTAAGCGAGTAACACCCAGTGAAAACAAATGACTTTGTGCTTACCTCTCCACCCAGTTTTTGTAGTTTGGAATGTCTTTCGCATACAGTAGTTTGTTGGAGGGAGAGTCCTTGCCCAGTTTATGTTCAGAGGTGGAACAGGAGTCCATGAAAGTTTGGGCTACCACAGAGAGGCAGGCGTCTGTAATACTGTTCTTGTGAATGTCAAACACAAACTGTGGATTTTTGATAACATTCACCCAAAATCGTAGAGGTAGACTAGAGGGACAAAACAAATAAAAGTGTAGACTATTACATGCAAGGTTAAAAAAGCAACATCAAAATTCCAATAACCAACCTACCAATATTTTACCATCCACTCTGGAACAATGCAGACCGGAAGAGAGGGCAGGACTAGACATTGGGATTGAAGTTGGATCTTTTATGTAAATTCCACTGAGGCTCACAATATATAAGCCGTGTGCAGACAAAATAAACGTACGAACCATAGCCGCATTTCAACAGCAAGAGGCTGATACCATAGAAGGATGCCATTCAGTCCATCTTGCCCATGTCTATGCCTTTTCATGTGAACGTTTTCCCAAAGCAGTGCAAACTCAGAGAGTAGGCTCCGATACTAGTAAATGAACTGTCATTTCAGCCATTCTACAACTGTGTAGAATTGTGGCACTCTGTAAAAATTCTTTGTTTTATTCACTTAATGGGACGCGATGGCCTAGTGGTATTATCATTAGACTGTTAATCCAGCGACCCAGGTAATGTTCCGGGGACACAGGTTTGAATCCCACCACAGCAGATGGTGGAAGTTGAATCCAATTTTTTTAAAAAGCTGGAATTAAGAGTCTAATGATGACCATGGATCCATTGTCAAATGTTAGGAAAACCCATCTGGTTCATTAATACCCTTTAGGGAAGGAAACTGCCATCCTTACCTTGGTCTGGCCTACATGTGACTCCAGACCCACAGCAATATGGAGAGGGCAATTAGGGATGGACAATAAATTCTGGCCTTGCCAGTGATGCCCTCATCCCTTGAATGACTGAATTAAAAATTCTTAGGATGTGGAATTTGATGCCAAGTCCAGAGATTTTGGTCCATCCCTAATTTCCCTTAAACTGAACGGCTTGCTCAGCCATTTCAGAGGGCAGTTAGGAGTCAACCACATTGCTATAGGTCTGGAGTCACATGTAGGCCAGACTAGGTAGGGACGCATTTTCCTGAAGGACATTAGATGGTTTTAGAGACGATATAAAACTTTAATGATCGCCATTATTACGTTTGGATTTCAATTCCAGATTGTTAAAGTCAATATTGCTAATGCCAATTCAAACCATATTGCAATTTCTCAACACTTATCTGGATGAGGGCTGTTTTGAAGCTGGGAAGTTATGAGTTTGGAACATTTCTAACCAGCGCCAGTTTAGTGGCTTGTGAAAGATGACTGTGAACCATCAGATCTCCCAGAGTCAGTGGGAGTCTTCAAACATTGAGTGAAACCAAAGGGTGTACAATATTGTTCATCATAGAATCCCTACAGTGTGGAAGTGGGCCATTTGGCCCATCGAGTCCACACTGACCCTCCAAAGAGCATCCCACATAGACCCAGCTTCCCCAGGCCCCATCCCCATAACCCTGCAATCCCCATAGCTAACCCACCTAGCCTGGAGACTACAGGGCAATTTCCCAAGGCCAATCCACTCTAACCTGCACATCTTTGGACTGTGGGAGGAAACCGGAGCACCCGAAGGAAACCCACACAGACACGGGGAGAATGCGCAAACTCCACACAGACAGTCACCCGAGGGTGCAGTCTAACCTGGGTCCCTGGCGCTGTGAGGCAGCAGTGCTAACCACTGAGCCACCATGCCACCCTGTTCTTGGCCATACAACTCGGACACTCCGAAGTTTACTCCAGAGCTGCCCAGTTGCGATCCAAGAGTTACTTTGCCTTCCTCCTGTTCAGGCTCATTCCGAGATGGACACTTACCAGTTACTCTTCCAGGTATGTCGCACGTCGTGGTCGGTGATCAGGTGTTTGTCGGCCTGTTCATCCAGAAAGTCAAACATGTATTTGATTGCAAGAGGGAGGGCGCTGCCCCTGTGTGCTGTACTAAATATTGTCTCAAACAGGTCGTCCACAAACTTCTGCAGGGTTCCCTGGAAGGGTAAAACCGTCCAAAGTCAGCACCATTTTGGATTTGCACACGCGATATACTTCCCCTGAACCACACTGGAGCACAGTCTAAGACTGGAGTCCAGAGATCCTACTGATCACCCTCCTAAAGCCTTATATATAGTGTTAGAAGGAGCTAGTTACCTGACAGTTGCCTTCCCTCTTTTTTCCTGAGTTATGAACAGACGTGGAGTCAAGACAGATGGCGTTAAGATGCAGATCAGTTAGGACCAACAGTACTGTGGGTGTATGTAGCTATCACTCCACCCCAACCTCCCAATCCCCTGACAAATTGCTGGGTTTAAGAAGGCTACTCACTGCAAGATTCTCAGGGCAATTAGGAATGACGACAAATGCTGGTCTAACCAATGATGCTCAAAGTGATGGACAAACACAAAACAAAATTGAAAGGCCGAGAGCGTTTTAATGGCCTATTCCTTTGTTCCAACATTCCAACTAAGATGGCGGTCTCTCGCATTTTCTCTATTTAATGGAGACTGATGTGTCTATTGCCCCTCCTCATGCCTGCTCCTTGTGAACTATAGAAAGGTTATCCAACAGACTGAAAATTTCTAAGCTCTCTGCCAATCATCTCACTACATTTGACTAACTTTGGTTTCATTCATCCACTCTTCGCATCCCCTTCACCACACGGCCTTTGTTCCTCAATTATATAAAATATGAGAATATAAGTAATCAGAGAAGCAGGCCACTCAGTCCATTCAGCCTGTTCCACCACTTACTGAGGTCATGTCTGATTATTCACCTCAAACTCACTTTCCCACCTGAGTTTTAAACTGCTTAACCTCCCTAGTTCCCAAAAATCTATCAATCCCAGTCTTAAACACACTCAATGACTGCACATTCACAAGAACCATAGTCATTAGAGTGAATGAATTTCTCCTCAGTTTAGTCCTGAATGGCTAACCTGTTATCTTAAGCCCAAATGTTGCTGAAGAAAGATGTACTCTGTCACAGCTTTCCAACTTGCAGAGATCAGGACATTCACAAGAGTATTGATGCAAAGGGGAAATAACAGTCTATATTGTAAATTTAAACAAAGCATGGCAGTCCACATCCAGTCATCGTCTAACTAGAGTTTTCGCCACGGCAACACCTCCACCAATTACAGTCCATTTGCCAACAAATCAACACACACGTCTCATGCAGTAACTCAGCAATGCTCCTTCAACAGCATCTTTCAAACCAGTAATCTCTATCAGCTCGGAGGACAAAGATAGAGCATAAATGGGAACACTACTCCCTGCAAGATCCCTTCCAAAACACATACCGTCCTGACTTGGAAATATATCACCGTTCCTTTACTATTGTTGGGTCAAAATCCTGGAATACCCTTCCTAAGGGAATTGTGGGTCCAACTACAGTACATCGTCTGCGGTGGTTCAAGAAGGTAGCTCACCACCATCTTCTTAACGGCAACTAGGGATGAACAGTAAACGCTGGGCCAGCCAGTGATGCCTTCATCTCAATGAAGGAAAGAAATAACAAGGGAAAGCTGAAGAGCTGAGGGAAGGCGAGACATTGTACAACAGTGAAGTTTCTTCAGCGTTTGGAAGTTGAGAAGCAAATGCAAGAAAGGCTGCAATTACTGAAGGATTAGTCAGTCATCATAAAACACACGTAGTTACAGCAAGTGGCTGAAATTTAAGTTACCAGCAAAATTAATTTCCTGAAGTTTGAATACAGCCTAAGACAATCCAAAGCATTTTATCTTGCACTTTTCAGGACAAACACAAGAATGCCAAATTTCAAACAACCACAACAATTTATTCCGCAGGAGCAAATGGGTGATGATTGGTTGGCAAGTTGACTCTGGCTTGCCTGAGGACTTTCTTCAACTCATTTGGTCATTCCTCGCATGTAGAAGACACACTGAGACCGAAGAGGAAAATGAGACTGTGTGAAAGGCTTTGCGTTTTAAAATCAGATCTTTGCCACCCAGTGAGTTGGTGATGAGCTCACCCACATTGGTGCCAAGTCATGGCTCAGCAGCTAATACACTTCCCTCCCTGCAACCGAAGCCGTGATCTGTCACAGATACTGGCGCCTCTCACCTTGGTGGCCAGGAGGCGGGTCAGATAGATCTCAGACACCATTTTGCTGCCTCGGTCCCCTTCCCTCTGGTCCATGTGGTCATGGTTCTTGACTAGGTGCCAGAGTTTGGTTCCGCTCTCCAGGTCTGGGGTGATCATGGGCGTTCGAGACCGCAGGCTATCTGGACTGCTGGCAGTGCGTAACATACTCTCTGTAAAAAGGTGCAGACGGAGGAGAAGATGACAGGGTTCTAGTAGCACCATAAGACCATAAGATCCAGGAGCAGAATTAGGCTATTCAGCCCTTTGAGTCTGCTCCACCATTCAATCACAGCTGACATGGTTCTCAAACCCTTTCCCCTGCCTTTTCCCCGTACCTGCTGATCGCCTTCCTAATCAGGAACCTGTCTATCTCTGTCTTAAATACACTCAATGACTTGGCCTCCACAGTCCACTACAGCAATGATTTGCACAGTCACCACCCTGTGGATGAACACTACACTCTAAAATATACTCCTGTCCAAATTGGTGACTGAGATTGAGAACAGGAGCTGGATGGAGATTGAGTGACACGTGTTAACTCAACCCTGAACAAGCTGATGAAGTGTGAAACTTGCCACTAATACCTGTCTTCATAAATGGGTTTATTTGTAGAATGCAGTGCTCTCTATCTCTGCTTCCGACCTACTATCTAGCTGTGTCTCTTTACAAATACTCTACTCAGTTAATTACAAAGTGCCTATTACCTGTCTCCACATGCAATTCAAACCTCAACTTTCCTTCAGCAGCTCAGTAACCTTGTGATCAAAGAACAAAGAAAATTACAGCACAGGAACAGGCCCTTCAGCCCTCCAAGCCTGCGCCGATCCAGATCCTCTATCTAAACCTGTCGCCTATTTTCCAAGGATCTGTATCGCTCTGCTCCCTGCCCATTCATCTATCTGTCTAGGATCATGGTAACCAGAGCCCCTCCCAATCTATAAGTGGAGCCACTTTCTGTCTGTGCAATCCTTCCCCAGCCCAAAATTCCATCCTTCTCGGATTTTAACTCGTGCATTCACAATTGCTTCCCTGTGTGAGGCCTACATTCACTCTTTCAAGCCGCAGTGAAGGGACACCACCATTTGGTGAGAGGTGAACAAGAAAATTGGTGGAACAAAAACAGAAGTTGCTGGAAAAGCTCAGCTGGTCAGGCTGCATCTGTGAAGAAAAAAATCAGAGTTAACGTTTCGGGTCTGGTGACTCTTCCTCAAAACAGTTCTGTTGAGGAACAGACCCGAAATGTTAACTGTGATTTTTTCTTCATAGATACTGCCAGACCTGCTGAGCTTTTCCAGCAACTTCTGTTTTTTGTTCCTGATTTACAGCATCCGCAGTTCCCTCGGTTTTTAAGAAAATTGGTGGAGCTGTGGACAGTGAGGGAAGTTGGCAAAAGATACAGCAAGATATAGGTCAGTTGCAAATTTGGGTGGGGGATTGGCAGATGGAATTTAATCTGGACAAGTGTGAGAGGAAAGTGTACAGTAAATGGCAGGACACTTTGGAGCATTAATATACAGAGGGATCTTGAGGTGTAGATCCATAGCTCCCTGAAAGTGGTGACACAAGTGGGTAAGGTGGTAAAGAAGGCATATGGCATGCTTGTCTTCATCAGTCTGGGCAGTGAGGATAAAAGTTAGAAAGTCATGAAGTAAAACTTTTGTTTGGAGTAATGTGTACAATTCTGGTCGCCACACGATAGGAACGATGTGGAGTCTTTGGACAGGGTGCAAAAGAGGTTTACCAGGACATTGCATGGATTGGAGTGTATTAGCTACAAGGAGAGGTTGGACAAACTGGAATTGTTTTTGCTGTAGCGTTGGAGGCTGAGGGGAAACCTGATTGAAGTGTATAAAATTATGAGGGGCATGGATAGGGTGGATATTCGGAGTCTTTTTCCCAGAGTGGAAATATCAAATACTAGGGGGCATAGGTTTAAGGTGAGGGGGGAATGTTTAAAATGTGAGGCACGTATTTTACACAGGGGAGTGGTAGGTGCTTGGAACATGCTGCCAGGGGAGGTGGTGGAGGCAGGTACGATAGCAAAGTTTAAGAAGCATTTACACAGACACATGAACAAGCAGGGAATAGAGAGATACGGACCATGTGCAGGCACCTGGGATTAGTTTAAAATGGCATAATGGTCAGCACAGACATGGTGGGCCGAAGGTATGTTCCTGTGCTGTACAGTTCTATGTTCTAAGAGCCAGACACTTTGCTGGCAATGTGAGGCTGAGGCATTTCACCTGCAGAAATCAACCAGCAGCAAATGTGTCTACACTGCCCAGAGGAAGGGGAAGTTTAACAGGGGAAGTGTGAAGGCCAACAGGAGAAATGCGACTGATACAGGTCACATTAGGCACCTGACAGTGGTCTATCGCAGGCTCGGGAATGGATTCTGCAAGGAGACTAGCCGAAACTCAGAAGTGCTAAAAATATGCTTCCTCCAACACTGCATAAACTATCAGTGCATCTAGTCAACAAATAAAACTCAAATTCAGAAAGCCGAGAAAAGGGCATCTGTATGTTCGGTGTCTGGGCCCAAAACTCTGGATTCCTTCCCTAAGCTTTCCCAACTCTCTAGCCTCCATTTATTAAAACTTGACTCTAACCTCCTTTGTTGGCTCAGTGTCAGCTTAGGTCTGGTTACACCCCGGCCTCCTCAGGTATTGTCATGCAATGCTCTACCACGTCAAAGGTGCTATATAAATGCGAAATGCTGTCATCTCCTGCTGCAGGCACAAAATGCTCTCAGACCTCACTTGGATAGCTTCCCCCAATCTAACAGCAAAATTCTTTGGTATTAACACTCTCCATAGCTCTGTGCAAATCTCACCTCCTGCTCTCAACGAAATGCCAAACAAAACCCATGAAATACTTTAAGAACAAAGTAGACGCAACACAAGTGGGATTTTGGGGTCATTCTGGTTAGAGGGAACTACCTTTAATTGTAAACGTGTAAATATGAATGTGAGACCTTCCTCCAGAGGGAACACGAGGATGTTTTTCTCGATGTAGCGAGTTGCGGAGATGTGGAATTTGGGGCCGGTCAGCTCATTTGGCTGCGCAGCTGGTTTGTTCCTCCTCACCCCTCTCTGAGGTGAAGTACAGAATCCACCCTTAGATTTCTAAGGCACTACTTTACATTGATAGGCTCTAGTTGGACTCTCTCTCAGGAGAATCACTTGAGTGTTATGCTGCAGATGGAGGCCATTTGGCCCTCCATGCCCATTCTCTCTGCATGCCCTCTATCAAACCCTTTCATCATTTTGCCAACCACTATTAGGTTACCCCTCAGTTTTCTCTTTTTAGGAATAAAAGATACTGAGCCTGTTTTGCCCTCTCCAGCTCTCTGCCACTCTTGGTTTCATCCTCACAAATCCTTCCCACACTCTCTGCATTGCCTCAGTAACTTTTTCACAGGACGGGGATCAGGACTGTACAGAGTTCTCCAGGTGTGGTCTGAACAAGGTTCAATTTTATCAGCACCTCTCTGCTTTTCAGAGGGAGATCGTAAGAATCTCTTTTACCCATGGCAGATACGTCCAAGACCAGAGGGCATGAGATTAAGATGAGGAGCAAATGGTTTTGAGGGGAATCTGAGGAAAGGTCTTTTTTTTAAACTAAGGTTGGCAGAAATATGAAACTTGCTGCCTGAAAGGGTGTTGGAGGCTGGTACACTCCCAACAACTTTGAAACATCTGGATGAGCACTTAAAATGCCAGGGCATAGTAGGCTGTGGACCAAGTGCAGGTAGATGGATTAGTGTAGTTTGGTGTTTGTTGGTCAGCACAGATGTGGTGGGCTGAAGGGCCTGTTTCTATGCTGTATGACTCTGTGATTCTATTTTCAATTCTATCTCTCTGGAATGTAAACACTTCCATTCTGAGGAAGGATCACTTGGCCCAAAATGTTTCTCTCCACAGATGCTGACAGACCTGCTGAGCTTTTCCAGCAACTTCTGTTTTTGTTTCTGATTTACAGCATTCGCAGTTCTTTCAGTTTTTAACCTTTCTGTTTGGTTGGCTTTCCTCAGGGCCTGGTTAACATCTGAATTTTTGGCAGTTTGAGTGTTTGCCCTTCCTGAAAACAGGCTGAGGGGACAATACCACCTGGAGAACATCGACTGTTCCTTTATCTGATGCTGATAGCACTCTGCACCACACTCACCATAACGGCTGAGAGATTTGGTGAAGGTGGAGGAATTGGAGATATTATAGGCTGAGGTCTGTTTCGGTACAAGTGCTATCAAAGATCCATCTGTAACCTGGGAGGGGGGAAGAACAATTTACAAAGTTAGAGAAAAGAGAAAAGAACATTTTCATTGATAACACAGTGTTGAGCTGGAGGAACACAGCAGGCCAGGCAGCATGAGAAGAGCAGGAAAGCTGGCATTTCGGGTCAGGACCCTTCTTCAGAAAAATCTGTACAGATTTTACTGCAGTGTAGCCTGTTCCTACATCTGCTTCAAATATGAAGAAGGGTCCTGACCCAAAACGTCAGCTTTCCTGCTCCTCTGATGCTGCCTGGCCTGCTGTGTTCCTCCAGCTCCACACTGTGTTATCTCTAACTCCAGCATCGGCAGTTCTTACTATCTACTGATTTTCATTCCAAGATTGGACGTTTTCATAGATCATAGATAGATCCCCTACAGTGTGGAAACAGGCCCTTCGGCCCAACAAGTCCACACCGACCCTTGGAGCATTCCACCCAGACCCATACTCCAATTACTCACCTAATCTACACATCCCTGAACACTATGGGGCAATTTAGCATGGTCAATCCACCCTAGCCTGCACATTTTTGGACTGTGGGAGGAAACCAGAGCAAACCCACGCAGACATGGGGAGAATGTGCAAACTTCACACAGACAGTTGCCCGAGGCTGGAATCGAACTTGGGTCCCTGGTGCTGTGAGCCAGCAGTGCTAACCACTGAGCCAGTGTGCCGCCCAAATTGATAAGCTCTGGCACAGAAAGAGGCCATGTGCCCACTGTTCCTCAGGGAGACTCAAATCCGACAACCTTGCTAACTCCCCACTCTAACTTCAGTGGAGCCTGTCCCTACATCTGCTTCAAAAAGTTCTCCAGTTTTATCCGAAGAGGGTACCAAGGACTTATAAGGCATCCAAAAGTATCAAATCAGAAATCTATGCCGACCCACTGGTGCTGTACCAACCGGGTGCCACATTGCCAGAGGTGCCATCTTTCAGCTGAGGCATTAAAACTCTTTGTCCGTTTTCCCAGTTCAGGGAAATGTCCAAAGTCCCACTTTGCCATCTCGAAGATGACCGAGGGAGTTCTGCCCTGGTGTCGCCGCAGGTATTTACCCCCTCAGTCAAGGTCGTAACAGATGATGTGGGGCAGTTATCACACAGTTGTTTGTGGGATCTTGCTGCGCGTACAATGGCCGCATGTTTCCCGCACGACCGCGCATTGAAAAGTATTTCACCGGCTCCCGAAGTGGCCTCTGGTTGTAACGAGCACAATGTCAGTGCACGCCTTGGTATTGCGGGGGGGGTTTTCCCTCCCCCTTCTACCTCTGTCTCCTAAACTCCCGCAGCCCCAAACTCCATTTGATGACCCATCCTGTTTCCGATCACTCTCCTGACCAAACCAACCACCCACCCACCGAAAAAAAACACCAAATCTCCTTTTAACCTTTTTCAGTCTCCGTAGAATTCGACCCAATCCCTCCCCATGGAATGTAGCTGAAGTGTTTCGATGAGTTTGTGAGCTGTAACGATGGGTATTAATATCTCACCAAGACTTTCATTCTGGTTCGATACCAGCAAACAGCTGGTCATTTAGCCAGACGGAAGAATGTTATACATGGACTTGCCCCTCGGGGGATTGTACCTGGTAGTGTGCCAACGTATTGAGACGTTTCCAGTCATTATCTATCTTTGTCGTCACATCTTCATCTTGGAGAATTATCCTCGCGATTCTTCCCTGTCGCCACTCTGAGGGAGACGGCAGAAAATGTTATCCCATCTTTTTTTCCAACACTCGCTTCACAAATTCACAAGTCCCACAGATGATTTCACTGCAGCTCCCTCCCACCATTCCTTACTCCACAGCGTAATGCACAGACTGGTAGCTAAATGTGGTACAGGCCAGTTATTGAACTACGTGAGGCACCATCTTGTGACCCCTCAGCAGAAATCCTCACAGTCATCCCAGCAGGTGTCGCTTTATAGCCGTAAGAAAGATGGGAATCAAGGATGGGGAGGTGGGGCATCAGCCTAGTGGTATTATCGCAGGAGTGTTAATCCAGAGACCCAGGTAATGTTCTGGGGACAAAAACAAAGTTGCTGGAAAAGCTCCGCAGGTCTGGCAGCATCTGTGAAGGAAAAAACAGAGTTAACGTTTTGGGTCCGGTGACCCTTCCTCAGAAC